CCCCATGCCAATTGACATTGTGAATTTGTTTTTATTATCAATGGCTTGTGAGCTGCAGCTCTTCTGTGAAAATTCATGGCATGCAGCTCTCAATGTGTTGTGGAAACACTTATAGGATTGGCTGTGGCTGCTCACCTCTCCAAACACAGATTCTCTAGGGTCTGATGGCGTCAGCTCCTGTCAGTCAGTATTTTACACCAACCTGGTCATTTCTTGGGCCCATTGTCACATGTGGACTTCCATTTCTTCAGCACGTTACCAACTGTCAACTTGGGAATGTTTAATTGTTGCGCAATAGCATGTACAGACATTTTCCCCAAATAACATCCAACTATCCTTCCCCTCTGAAGCTCTGTTATCTCTTTCCGTGTACTCATCGTTCAGCTTACAAGTTCGAAATGACTTCTGAGTGAACCGCTGATCACCTTTATAGGCCAAACTATTTACATATTTTGTCATCACATCCATTTTTCTGCAATCAGAGGTGTGTCCCAGAACTTTTGCAAAGATAGTGTGTGTATGTGTATATATATATATATATATATACATACATATATACATAAAAATATTTGAACATCAAACAAAACACTTATTACATCTAAAACATCGAATTATGGTCACCACATTTCAGCAGTTGTGAATAAATATTTATAATGAAATCTTTATTCAAATACAAGTTTTACTATAAGAAACTGCTTGCTTTAGTTTAAAAGTCTACAAAAAACAAAAACTAGAAACTTATTTCCATGTGAATGTTTAAAAACTTGTGCATACACGTAGCTGGAGTTTTTAAGAACTTGAGAGGAAAGTAAATATACATGTGCACTAGGTTGGCAAAATACAAATCTTATTAAATAGGAATTGGTTTACACATCAATAGCATACTTTTGTAATAAAATCAAGCAAAGCATTAGTAACAAACAATTACTGTTTTTTTAATGATATCTTTAATTTCTCAGTGAATATTTTTTACAACAGCATACAAAGTCATAACATCTCAATCATGCCAAGATGGTAACAAAAATGGTAATTTACAGTTTATAAAAAATACAATTTGCAAGAAGAACAAAATATATTCACATCTCTAACTTTCATTCACATTTTACAATAAATGTTCTTTGACTACCAATACAACAATTATATGATGTTTTCTACAATGAGGTCGTGCATTTGAAGGATTCCAGTAATATTTTATACAAGCTGAAATATATAACTTAACTTTTACTCTCATGGATTAACATGATTTTCAAACAGACACTTAACTCTGAAATACTAAAAGCCTTTTGACCGACCTCATAACCACCATAAAAAAATTAGGAAGTAAATCTAAGTTACTCATTTTTCTTTCTGAAATGACTGCAGATTGTAACAGGAAACCACTGTCATTTATCCAAAGTAGCTTAAAGCTTTATACTTAATTTTATAATCCTGCCACACAAACTGTAAGTCACTCCACACACACACATGTAACTCATGTTACACTATTCAATTACATAATACATGGGCTACTTGCCAGCTGCTCATGAGCATATCCCATAAAAAAAATTTTTTTTCTTCTTCATTTTACATACTCTTTCCTTATCTAGCCTAATAAACTTCTAATTTTTTCATTTTAGTTACTTTTAAAATAACAAATGAAGAATACACATGAAAAACGAAATATAGTACTTACCTGGGTGTTTTATTTTCTTGTTGTCGACTGTTGTAAAATTTAACCCCACTTTTTATTACACTAATTAAATAATGCACCTAACAAGGCAGAATAATAACTCATAAAAAACAGGCAATATTCTATATCTATCATAATTTTTCTGGCTTTCTAGCTGTAAGATAAGAGCTGTTAAAAATTTAGCTGAGCTTGTTGATGTGTTTCCCATGGGAACAAAGTTTGAACTGGAAGCAAAACAGATAATTCTCTGTACAGAAAACCACATAATATAATATGTCATTTGTTAGATTAAAACTCTGGTTTTCTACTGATTATAAAGAACAAAGTATTAAACATTTGAGAGAACTATTGGCAATTTGTGAAATGGATGATTTGACAGGTGAGCATGAAGGGGTTTGATGTTCTAGATTATTGCTCTGAAACCAAATAAGACTGAAGGCTATAAAAATTATGCTTTGCCTGAGTAATAGCTATGCTCAGAAAGGGAGATAAATAAATTAGAGACGAGGGAAGTTTGTTTGTTATGGATTTCGCGCAAAGCTACACAAGGGCTATCTGCACTAGCCGTCCCTAATTTAGCACTGTAAGACTACAGGAAAGACAGCTAGTCATCACCACCCACCGCCAACTCTTGGGCTACTCTTTTACCAACAAATAGTGGGATTGACCGTCACATCATAACGCCCCCACGACTGAAAGGGCGAGCATGTTTGGTGGGACGGGGGATTCGTATCCGCGACCCACAAAATGCGAGTCGAGCTCCCTAACCACATGGCCATCCCGGGCCGATGAGGGAAGACAGGGAGAGCAACCATCTAAGTTTTCATACTAGGGGAGCTCAAGAATTAATTAAAAACTGAAGATGTCTTATGACAAGACTTTTTTCACAAGTTTCCAACTCTAGTTGGCCAGTGGAATCTAAGGATCTCTCTCTCTCTGATAACATTGTGGAAATGCCCATGCCTTTCTATATTTTATATTCTGTAGCCATTTCCAATTTCTCTCTATTATCACAACATATTTGAATGTGACCGACCCATTTTTGGGATCATATATTGTAAAATATAAAAATGACCAAAGATGCCCATGATTGAAAAGTTGATCACTGTTTATTTCAACTTCTGGTTGGTGAAAAAGAAATACTAAAGAAGCACATGTTTAATATTTATGTGGTAAAGCTAAGGTTCTCGAAGCCAGTATGTATGGGGGAGAGAAACATGATAAAGATTAATGTGAAGAAAAAATGTGAGTAGAAGATTAACTAATAAAAAAACAACAACATAGCATTTCATACTTATATAATAATTATTATTGTTAATTATGAAAATTCTCGTTAAAACTAATTGTCAATATTATGTAACATATATTGAGAATTTATAGAAATCTTTGATCAAACACTGTAAAACGATCTAGAATCCATTTTTGCAATGTATTCTAGTTCACCAATAAATAGTTTGTGGAATTCTTTGACATTGCAATTTTATATATTACTTATATATTTATTGTACTTGTAATGCTAAGTTGTAAGTATACACGTAAAGCAGTCACAATGGTGTAATATACTAGAAATCCATTTCTTTATTTCATTTGAGGTAACATGATTGTTTTTATGCAGTCTCGTTCCTTGGGAAAGAAGAAAATAGTTCACTACACATCATGTGAGAGTAAAACACGTGCTAATGCTGCCTTCCTCATTGGATCTTATGCAGTAAGTTTTTTTCCCCCTTTTTTTACTTTATTTATTATGCATTTCATGGAAGTGTTAAACTAGGCAAGATTTTTGTATATTTTTCTATCACATCAAGATCAGTAGAATTATAGTTTTCTTAGAATTTTATAATAGAGAAACATACATAATATTCAAAATTATATTGGTTTCTATGTCATTTTACTTATCATTGTTTTTCACACAAGTGAAATTAACTCGTACATTATTCTGTTATGAAGTAAGATTCTTTGTAAATTTTAATTTATACCAATAAAGATTTTGTGTAACCCTTTTGCTTTGGGTAGTTCAGTGTGTGCATGTCACAATATTTTACTGAGTTACATTCAAAAAGTGTGAAAAAGGTTTTTACTTGCATAAATACCTTGATCACAAAACAGATGATTGGTATTGTCTTTGGTCTGACAGTTCTCTTTAATTCCCTTCTTCACAATCACAAATGTAACGAATTTATCATT